TTTTTTTTTTAAGGGGGGAAAATCATCGAATGACTGCTCCCGCCTGGGTGAGGCGGAAGGGAGTGTCAGACTCTTACTGACTAAAAACCACCCCGTTCCTTCTCCTGCACGTCGAGTCGGAGCCCCGGTTACCCGTTAGGTTCTCCGCGACTCCGAATCGGCATCAGCCGTATTGGGCCCCATCTGTGGTGGTCTGATGGCTCTTTGAGCCGCTCGGAAACTTTCTATCTTTTAACCACTGAACTTATTTCATAGAGTTTCTGTACAACAATAGTCAAAGTTTTTATTACTCAAAACTTACGTGATCGGGCCGGGACTGGTAAGAACCCTGCGGGATTTTTAATTTATTGAAATTACGATAAATCATTTTACAATAGGTAAATCTTAATTGGGCACTGAATTGATTCTGATGAATTCTGTCAGAAGTCATTAATCTACGCGGACGAAGTCGCGGGCAACAGCTAGGATTATGAAATGATGTGGGTGGCAATATAAATAATTCTAAGTCCTTTCCGAGGTTGCAAACCATTGTTGTACCGGATTTAAATCAAATAATTACAGTGGTTTAAGATAGAAAGTCCCGGACCTTGAATCCTTCCCATTTCCTTGGGATTTTCGGGATAAAAACTAACACACATCTTTTCCCAATACTCAAACTGCCTCAACTGATAACAGTTATGCCATAATAACTGAGTAAAGTCTGCGATATCATACGTCTAACTTGATAGTTATTATGGATATTATATTATTTGGATATTAATGTCCTTTATACGATTATAATACATCACTTTCCTCTATTGTGTTCGGGGTTAATGTAGGATTCCAATGGTAAAAGATTGTTTTAAGACCGTCTAGTAGTTTCGGTGCCTATTCAAAACAAACAAACTAATAAACAAAAATTCATATATGTCCTCTTTAAAATATTAGTATAGATGACAACGTTTAGTAAATTAAACCGAGATCTAAAAAATCCTAAATTTATCAGACAAACGCTTTTTTGAAAATTGAGAATTAAAACTACAACGATAAATGATGTCTACAATTTCAATTAACTATATGTTTGTTAACGCAATGATACAGGAAAATCTCTGTGTGAGATAATGTTATTTTGTTTTAAATTATGTTTTCGGCTTACTCATCTAACTGTTTGACGAGGATCTCGACTAGTTTCAAGCCATGCTAGAGGCACATATTCATAAGCAGCATTCCGCGACCCGCGACGCGGCGGCTCGCCCTGCTACTTAAGATTACTCTGAATGTCATTTTTTATTTTCATTCTAATATTTTTATCAGGAAACGGCATTTTCGCAATGGACAGTTTTCTACATGCTCAGCTAAGTACAGGTAACCAAATTTTCGCAGGAAAACTTGCACACGTAAGTACCTATTGGCTATGCTCCTATATCTACTTATTGGGCACTTTATCATCTCTAACACAATAATAATTATTCACCCATCAATGTACTCAATAAATGATCGGTCATCTGTGTAGTCAGTTAAGGTGCCTACCCGGTATGACTTTTTATAGGTATACAATGTACTTTTTCATAATAATTCGATACCACTGACGTAGATGTGAATATTGTGAGGAAAACTGGGCCTCCAGTTTTAAATTCCAAGTTTGAAATCACCAATTCACTTTGAGCAAGCTTGGTAAGGCGTTTGTTCAGCAGTGAGTGGACATTTATGGCCCGATAATAAAAATAATGATAAATAATTAATTTTAATTAATATACTTATTTCTTGTTAGGAACTGCTCTCTCAAAAACCAGATAAAAGCTTCATTGTATCTAGTCTGTCTGCGTTGCTACCTTTTGCACAACTTGCTGTATTTTCCAAAGAAAGGGTTTTAGAAGAGCTGCTTAAGCTCCTGAATGTTCAGAATAAAGACCAGGTATGTTATGTTTTACTATCGCATAATATTGAAATCCGATATAATTCCCCACCTGAAGATAAATACGTGCATGTTTTATATTTTTTACATACTTCTGTTATAAAAATCTTCTTACTCCTATAGTTACTAAAATTACTATATTTTTTTATATAAAGAGTTCTAGATAAATAGTACCTACGTCTGGACCACCCGCCATGCGTTTGCTCGTTTGCCACGTGTAATACGAAGGAAACATTACTAATAGTATTTTTTATTATAATTTAGATAACAGATGCATTACCTCTAATAGTTGCGGAACTTAAACGTCCAAAAAATGTAACAATGACTATAGCTACTAAGTTTTACGCAAACATAGGCAATCCACTGAGTCAAAACTTTATATGTGACTCAAAAACATATTTCGATGCCGATGGGGAAACTCTTGACTTCAGCAAAAATCACTTGGCCGCTGACAATATAAATAAATGGGTAAGTGACAAAATTACTTATTTTCATTAAATTTTAATGTTGAGTAGAATTATTAAAGGTAATTCATGAACTAAACTTTATGGTACACATATAAAAATTGCCCATAACCTGTTGGGTTTAGGCAATATTCGTTTAGGCAATAGTCTGCACGGTTGGTGCGGTGGCTGGGCAACCGGCTGCCGTGCAACGTGTTGCGGGTTCGATTCCCGCACGAAACAACACTTTGTGTGATCCACAAATTGTTGTGTCTGGGTGTCATTGTGTATGTGAACTTGTGTGTTTGTAAACGCACCCACGACACAGGAGAAAATCCTAATGTGGGACAACGTTTAAAAAAAAATTCAATGACAACGCTTTTCATAATTCTTAACACGATATACTTATTTAACACTAGCTGTTGCCCGCGACTTCGTCCGCAAAGAGTATGATTCCTATTTTATCCTATAGAAGCATTTAATCGGGATAAAAAGTATCCCATCCTTATACCAAATTTATCAAATTCCGTTCTGTAGTTTCAGCGTGATTGAGGGACAAACATCCAAATAAAGAAACTTTCACATTATTTTATAATATTAATGTGTGTCATATGACAATAGGCTCACCCTTACATGGGACTCATAACAAAAATAATGAAAAAGTGGGTGTTACATTGTACAATGGCATTAAAATCCATAATGTGCACCTCTGCCTACCCCTTCGGGGATAAAAATGCGTGATGTTATGTTATGTTACAATGAATAGTACAAGAATCTTACCAAGGATACCAGGATTATTTTATAACTGTTCCGAAACAGGTAGCAAAGAAGACTGATGATATGATAACAAACATCGTGACTCCGAATATGTTCAACTCAAACACCCGTCTCGTCCTGGCTAACGCTATAAGCCTAACGGTAAGATAATATTAATATTTTAGATAATAAACCTGAATCCCTAATAATCCGCAAATTTGGCCGTTATTACGACTCTGGTGTTCCGGGTATTCATGGGCGACGCCATTGCTTACCATCGGGTGATCCAGAAAATCTAAATTTTAAACAGTATTATAAATCAATTTTTTCAATTAATAGATTTACTTGATGTGATATCTTATAAATGAAGAAAGACATATCCATTATATTTTAGCATGTAAGTGTATCTTTTGTTGGAAATCTATGAAAAATATTACGGGCGATAATATCGGCATCGTATGATCTGTACCGAATTTGGGATGAGCCATGACACCAGACAAAATAGCAGACTTCATTTAAATACGGTACTATGAAAGAAAAAAGGATGAAAAGCATTTTGTTTGCACCATAACTTAGTAAAATACAAATAAAATAAGTCCGCCAGCGTATGTCATACAGCTGTGTAAATAAATCAATAAAAAAAACAAAATAAAAACATCGTGACGGTGCAAAAGAGATATTTGAGCCACTTTCTAAAAAACATTACCATAATATTTTTTACACCTTTCAGGCTGATTGGTTATATCCGTTTGACGTACATTCAACGTATGAAGCGCAGTTTACAAAAGTCAATGGTCATCAAGTCACAGTGAAAATGATGTACCAAACGAATGATTTTAACTATTATGCACAGTCAGACTTCCAGGTTTGTAATCCTAATGATATTACCTCTATTATTAATAACTTTATTAAGTTAACAAACATAAAAAGGTCTGTAATTAGTACCTACTAGCTTTTACCCGCGGCTTCGCTCGCGTAACAAAAGGACAAAAAGTAGCCTATAATGTGACATATACCAATACACACAGCGCCATCTATAACAATACTTTTGTTTTCCCTCGGGAATATCACATTTTTCCGAGATAAAAAGTACCCTATTATTTAATCCAGACTTCTAACTTTACGCCTGCGAAAATTCAAAGCAATCGGTTTAGTAGTTACGGCGTGAAAGCGGAACAAACAAACAAACAAACTCACTTTTCGATTTATAATATTAGTAAAGATAATGCGTCAAGCGTGTCTTTGCATTGTTTTCACATGTATGGGAATATGTATCAGAGACATTGTAGAACATACTTTTTTTAAATAGTAACGAATGGTGTTTCTTGCTTGTTCTTCTCCACGGAATATAGAAATTCCGTGTTCTTCTCCATTCGAATCTACATTTTGGAATGAGCACCTAGCTTCACCTAGCTTCAATGACGGACTGACTGACAAATTATTATATATTTAATTTTTTATTTGTTGACGTTACAAAAGTACCAAATTATGGTTTAATTGAAATAAATGCTTTGACTTTGACTTTGAAACAAAAAGTTAAAAACTAATAAACAAAACATAACTAGATATTATTAGTATTGATAGGTTACGATTCGATTTCCACACGGAACGACTCTGAGGGATCCACAAATTGTAGCCCGTACCTAGGTGATGTGACTTTATAAAGGATTGTCATCTGACATACTAGGATTTATTACTAACTACTATTTATTGATTACTGGGATTAATCCTAGTTTAAGACGGTTTATTTAAAAAAAATACGTGGCTACGGTGTCTATAATTATAACCTACAACTACGCAAATATATCATAAAGAAGGTTTTTATTTTGTTTGTTAGCATTGAATAAATCCGAAAATTTTAGGGAACCAATTTTAATATTATTTTCATCAATATAACAACTTATACTACATCTTTTCTTTTCATTTATAGGTCCTGGAAATGTTCTACGTAGGAAAAGATATTAGTTTTTTAACTATTCTACCAAATGACGCAAATAACTTGTTGAATATTGCAAAAAGTCTGAGTGACCCAGATTTTGTTATTTACGTGATGGAAAACCTTTCTCCCACTAAAATTGAAGTCAAAATACCAAAATTCGAACTAACAAGCCGAATAGACTTAAAGGATGTACTAAAGAAGGTACGTACGGTAGTGTACATTTAGCGAAATTCACAGAATTTATTAATTTCTTTTCTTTTGATTCGTAAAGTGTGGTCTGTCTGACTGCATCATTGGCTGCATAGTCGCAAATGGGACTGCCTCGGTTTTATTCCCGAGTCGGGCGATATATTGGCGAATGGTAAAAAGTCGACATATCAAACTTAAAAAAAATTCTCAGTAGTATTTCTGCTGAATCTGGATAGCAATACGCTCACCCTTTATTACATAGGACTTAAGTATAACATAAATAGTGAAAAGTGGGTGTTACATCGTACAGTGGCATTAATTGCCTTAAATGTGCACCTCTGGCTAAAAAGTATGATGATATTTAGTATAATCAATAAATAATATAAAGTATGATGTTTTATACGAAACGTATTGTGTAAGTTACCAACCCGCATTGAGCAAGCGTGGTGATTAATGCTCAAACCTTCTCCGTGTGAGAAGAGGCTTTGCTCAGCAGATGAATGATGAGTTTCGCATCGCACTAGGCACTCTGTTCATTTAGGTACATGCTTACGGTGGCCGGAGATACGTCCCGCGATCCCCGACGCCCGGAGTATCCTTCGCGGTGGCTGGGTTGTGAGGAGGCAGCGCTTCGCTGCCTCACGCGTCCCGCCTCCTCCTTAGCTAGCATAACTGCTTCGCTAAAGGATGAGATGGCATCCCAGTCCCCCTCGCTCCGCATCATGACCCGCACTTGGGCCGGACGCGAGTAGTCGCCATCGCTGATCACGTCCATGAGTGCACGGCGGTGCTCAGCCTACGCAGGGCATTCCCCCACTGTGTGTTCCACCGTGTCCTCGCAATGATGACACCTGGGCGTTTCCTCCCGCTCCATCAGATACAGGTACCTTCCGAAAGTTCCATGTCCGGTGAGGACCTGCGTCAAGCGGTAGATGAGGACGCCGTAGCGTCTCTCAAGCCACTCCTCAAAGAGGGGACTTACCGCTGCAATGGCAGTGAGCCCAGTCCTCGGTTGCGACAGTCGTTGCTGCCATTTCCGCCATTTCTTTCAGACATAGAGCCCATGTTTAGTCTTATTTTGCTTTTAACAATTTAAAAGAAAAATAAAGCGTTTTTAACTTTCTAGAACGGCGTCACCGCTATATTTCAATCGGGTACGACAGGACTTGAAGATATTTTAGAAAACAAGGAGTCTATTCACGTTACTGACGCGCTACAGGTAGCTCGTATTATTGTTGATGAAGTGCACACTCAAGCAGCTGCTGCCACAGGTATGTTAACTAGTGATTTAAATTGTGTTATACTTACAAAAGACATTTTGTGACACAATCGACAATGTCTTTGCAGAGGAATTAGAAGGCCAATAGTCTAGTTGTCATCGACATTAATATGCTAGTCAAACCTGTTAGACATAAATATACTAGTAACACCGGGGGTAACACCAGTTCGACATAAATATACCAGTAGCACCGGGGGGTATCACCGGTTCGACATAAATACATATATCACTAACACCGAGGGTAACACTGCTTTGACATCAATATACTAGTAGCACCGGGGTAACACCAGTTCGATATAAATATACTAATAACACCCCCCGGTGTTATTAGTATACTTTTTTTATTACTTAATTTACTATCGTCAATACACCCCCGTGTATTGACGATAGTAAATTAAGTAACTTAGTATAGGTATTTACTAAAATAAACGAGAACATCAACTGAATATTCCTGTTCTGCTATAAGTATCCATTTCCTTTTTTCATTGATTAAACTTATTGTCGTATTTTATATTCTAGTTGTGATAGCTGGTTTGAAGATGTCTCCACAATATAATAAGATGCTCTCCTTCAATGCGGATCGGCCGTTTGTGTTCTCCATACTCAATCGTAGGAAACGAGTGATGTTGTTTAACGGATTCTATAATGGTCCACAGTAAAATGTATGTAGAGATGAAAACAATTATTTTATAGTGGGTACATCGTATTTTGGCTCACTAAATGGCGTTAGCGCGACCCTTTTGTTCTTCGCCGATAGGGAACGAGCTAGTTGCACATCATTGGACGTTCGATATTTGACAGCTACTTTGATTGGACAAAAAACACCTCTTCCTACATTTGCGCCATTTTGTAAGCAAATAACGGTCGCCCCTATTAATAACTTACCTATGCGTTATATTCCATTGTAAATTATTAAAATAATTGTTCATCGAGTGGTTGCAACTGTGAGTGTTGCGAATAGTTTAGATAAAAAAAAATACTCAAAAACAACATTCCTTCTTCTGTGGAATGCGCTCCCTCCCGATATCAGGATGGTGCCCAGTCGTTTGTCATTCAAGCAGAAGGTGCGGGAGCTACTTTTGAGGAGGTTGACAGAATCGTAACTATCAATATACTATGTATAATTATGTTACGTCTAAGTAGTATATGTAATATAATTGTGTAAGTTTATTGTTATGTCATATACATGTAAGTTTATATAGGGATTTATTTTATGTAAGTCTATACTATCCGTTTTTCTATGTATTTCTATTGAGTCTTAAATACGTTTGCTTCTTGCATCGAGTATTGTTTTTATCTCTGCATCACCCAAAGGTCTGGCTGGAGGAGAATGCCCTAGGCATTAAGCCCACCTTGTACATAAGTGTGTGAAGTCTTCAATACATAGTATAAAACAAAGTCGCTTTCTATGCTTAGATCTTTAAAACTACGCAACGGATTTTGATGCGGTTTTTTTAATAGATAGAGTGATTCTTAAGGAAGGTTTGTATGTATAATACATGCATATTGCACCCGTGCGAAGCCGGGGCGGGTCGCTAGTTTAAAATAAAATAAAATAAATTCCTTTGACCTTTGACTAAAATCTGTAAAAGTTGCAGCCTTTGCAGATATTAGTTGGTTCAAATACCATGTGTGGCAAGCGAATTTTTAAAAATCCATCTATGTAGTTTTCTTTCTATTCAAAAATAAAGGAATGTTTTCTTTGAGTAAAATTTCCTATCTAAAGTATTAAGAGTAATAGCCTTCAGGTGGCATTACAAAATTCCACCCTGTATGGGTTTAATAATATTTTATATCCAATATATTTGGTCAATTAATTTTTTATTATAATGAATCAATGTGCTGCTCTTATAAATGTAAATATTTTACTTTATTGTTTTTTTACAAATTGAAAGTAACAGAAAATTTCTTTTTCAGGTTTACCAGAATATTGTATCATACAATTTTCGTTTCAAAATAAACTTTTACTCAATAATGAAACTGCATTTTGATTAACTTTTAAAGCTTGACTCCATCAAATGGTAGTCATTTTTATCTTTTTTAAATAGTTCACAATGCACTTGTAACTCTGATGTTGTTTTATGAAAAATTAATTGCATTGACTGCCTCGACTGCCTCGTTGGCCGAGTGGTCGTAAGTGCGACTGCCGGGGATAGGATCTCGGGTTCGAATCCCGAGTCGGGCAAAGTATTACTGGGTATTTAAAAAAGAAATTCTTAGTAGTAGCATGGAGTCTGAAATTGTGCCCGGTGTATGCCCATAGGCACACTATCTATTACGTGTACAGATGTAGACAGAGGCCTATAAACGGCGTGATAATATGTTATATAATCGGATTAATAGTCACACTTATTTTCACATTTATTAGTACGAATAATTAAAAAACAATTAGGAAATAGTGAATAAATACCTACTACCTAAAATAAACAGTCTAAACCCTACAGAGAACCTCAATGCCTATAACAAACCAGAACAAATTACAGTACATTATGAGGAATACCAAGGACAGACCATTGAGGGACTAGTTTCCAATTAACAGGTATTATTGTAACTCCCACAGGGATGAGAATATCGACAGGACGGGATCAAATGAAATTACGAGTTAGATCTCACTTATCCTGTCGAAATCCTAGATAATCTTCTAAAGGAAACGTTGTTATGGGGCCCAGATCTGGTCAAAATTAAATATTTGTTTTGCCCTCCAACAAAACTGTTTATTAGTTAAATCCTCTGCCGATTCTTCAATTTCCAATTTAAATTGTCAATTAGATAATACTTTGATGAATAGATTTAATCGGATCCTTCTTCAGCCTTTCAATTGAAACCAGATGCTAAAGGATTTATTTCGAATTTAGCTTTCAGATTATAAATAAGACCTATGAAAGGACCGAAGTAAACAACGTAAGAATTATGATGCCCTATTTGTATCATCTCAAACATCTACAGTATTAAATCGACACATTAATCACAATGGCTATAATGTTTTTGTGTGTTATCTAAACAAGTGTATTAATAGAAGATCTGCAACTGAAGCGAGCAATACATCACCCGGGCACGGACCGTATAACCCCCTGAGAGTCTATATTGATGATTTAATTAAGCAGTTGCCCTCAAACTTGTGTATTGGGATGTTTCAGTTCGCGACCGGCGGAGAATCCTGTCCGTTACATCGGAATTTGTAATTAAGAAACAACGTCTTCGAACAAAATCTGTTTACGAAGTCAGCCGAAGTATTTTATCTTGTTCACCGCAGCTTAGCGTAAACATTCACATGGGATATGTGGTAAAGTAAATAGTTGGTAGTCGTTCGTTGTTAAATTATTACATACATACTGAATGAAATTTGGTTTCTTGAATAATACTCGGCTATATCTTGCAAAATATGGAAAGTAATATAAAACTGAGCGTTCGAGGAGTACCTAGTATTTTGCAGAAGAGCTGTCGAAGTCTTAACTCAACAATCAACAAGTATAAAGATGATGTTATCGTATTGTTTGACCAGATGTTCAAACTTTAGGACTTGTGGCTGTCTCTGACAATTACCAACTTACTTATAAAAGTAGCCTTACTGGAAATTACGTATGCCAATCTTTATAGTTAACGTTTTCTTTGGTTTACATGAGTTTCTAGTCTGTACTGTGTAGTTGACATACTAATTTAAATATAAAAGAGTACTTGCCCGAATAGAATGGTATAACTGTTCGTAATGCCATACATAATGCATATATTTTCGTTCCTTTATCTTAAGTCTGCAAAATATCTAAAATCATACCTTCAACAGGTACAATGAAACGAGTCGATAAGTAAGACCAGTAAATTAGCTTCGGATAACATCGAAGTTCGTCGTAAATTTAGCTCAACTCCGTCGATTGTAAAGACCGCTGGCTCTCCGGCAAATTGATCTTATCGGGAGGGTACCTGATGTTCATAGTTAGTGCTCCATAGTTCATTGTGAAATTCGCAAGCGGCGTTAAACTCTAACGGTCAACTAATTTACCAGCAGACCAATCTTTACCCTAATAGTTATGGTATAGTTGTAGCTCTAAAGTTCTTCAGTGCACTGCGACCACTACGTAAACTTGCCCGAGTCTCACAATTTGTATAGGAATAATTAGCTACCTTCTGCAATTTTCTGAGTCAGATCTTCAAAGTTTTGCTTCTACTTTTTTCATTCAGTTGCGGTTAATATTTCGTCTGTAGGAATGCGTTCGAACTCACAACGCGAATAAACCCGTGAAGTTACTGTCTTCAAAAAAATATTTATGTTATAAATTAACTATGAATTCAGTTTGTGTCATTGATCGATACATTTTATGGTCTTCTATATGAGCTTTAAAAAGAATCGCCGTGCATTGATACTTCTATTGTTATCTTACATATAAATATTTCAGATCATAGGTAGAGTAGTAGTTATAGATAACGGGAAGGGCATGAAAAGTGTCTGAAAAAATGATTTTCTCATCAAAGCAGTGTCGAAAAAATATTACTAAGGTATTTGTAGTTCAACCTAAGATGGCGTTCCTCCACAGCGAATTAATATAACTTTATTAGCTATCTGGGATCTCACATTGGAGAGAGTTTGGATAGAAGTAATAGTTGAGCACAATTGATCGGACTAACGCATCAGACTATGAAATTCAGTACGACCATAAGCATGTTACACAGATTTATGAAGGAGATTGTCTGATAGACCGCCTTCTGTATGATTTTAGACAAATATAATTTTTATTACATCTTTTTAATTTTTTTACGGCATAATCCGGTAAACGAGCACGGATCACCTGATGGTAAGCAATCGGCGTCGCCCATGAACACTTGGAACACCAGAGGCGTTACAAGTACAAGAGGAATTTGAGGATCGTTGGGGATTCAGGAATTGGGGAGATTGGGGAAGGGGAGGGTAATTGGGCCTCCGGTAACCTCACTCACACGACGAAACACAACGCAAGCGTTGCTTCACGTCGGTTTCATGTGAGGCCGTGGTATCACTCCGGTTGAGCCGGCCCATTCGTGCCAAGGCATGGCTCTCTCACACTTATCTTTCTTCTTTAATCATGTTTTCTAATGATTCTAGAAATTCAATTTTAAAAATGTATAGATTAGGTAAGGCAGTTGCAGTAATATATATGTCACGGCCGTGTTATAAGTAATTCAGTCTTGAAAAGTTGTAATAAGATTTTTTATCAGTTAGAGTCTAACTTGGACTCAAAAGCCAAACGTCAGAAGAGGCTAGAAATATCACACTGTAAGACAAAATACCGGTAAATGCATGGTCAGTGGCACAGAACACTAATTTTCCTAGTATAAGCTGTGGACCGAGCGCAGGAAAATTATGTACCATATTCATCGCCTCCGTAGTCCTTGTCTCATAAAATTACTCAGAACACGGCCAACTTCGTTGTGACTTAACTTAGTCGTAGAACACATAACTCTGCGAGCTATATTTACTTATACCCGGGCACACATAATATAATATCTATACCTTATCTGTTTATTAGATATAAGCTTCTTCTTCTATTAGATATTTGGCTTTAGATTTTACTAGTTTTCCACGCATTGCTCCTGCGTTGTCAAAACTATAATAAATGATACACCTAAGTATTTCTTAGGGTTTACACTATTTATTGATGAAGATCATATAACAAACTGACTGCCTCGTTGGCCGAATGGTCGCAAGTGCGACTGGCGGGCAAGGGGTCTCGGGTTCGATTACCGGGTCGGGCAAAGTATTACTGGTTTTTTAAAAAAATCTCAGTAGTAGCACGGAGTCTGGAATTGTGCCCGGTATATGACAATAGGCTCACCCTCTTTTACATGGGACTCATAACATAAATAGTGCAAAGTGAGTGTTACATTGCACTTACAGTGGTATAATGTGCATCTCTGGCTACCCCTTTGGGGATAAAAGGCGTGATGTTATGTATGTATCATATAACAATACGTCTAGTAATTTTGTAATTTGTTGCGTTTTTATAGACCGACCTCCATATTTGATATTAAGCTCGACCCAAACCTGAAGAACTTTGAAACATGTTAATTTTAAGCTATGTTATTATTTGTTTCAGCTTACTCACGTAATTATTTTCATGAACAACATTCCGTGGCATGCGACGCAGCGCCCGTCGTACTGCTACTAAGTAGCCTATGCCTAGTAGAATATGAGCCCTAGCATGGCTTGAAACTAGTCGAATCCCTCGTCAAATAATTACGTGAGTTAGTCGAAAAACATGATAATTAATTTAGTATGTCTCACTAAAGTTATAATATAAATATGTACGTATTGTGCACCTACAAGAAATATTTTAGCAATTAATCCTTTGTACAAAATAGATCTTAAGACGTCAGCAGTAAGCGTTTAATTCATTTAACTCAAACTTAACTTGGAAATAACTTACGTATAAGTTTGTAGTCTAGACTTTAACTAGGTACTCACTGACTAGAAAATATATTAGTATACGTAACTCGACGCTCATCACTTTACTTGTAGATACTTATAAAATTCAGGTTTTTTAATGTACTTTATGAAATGGTATACCGCTTCTGTGACCTGATGCATGAATATGATAGAAGCTATAAAAGTAGTTACGTATGTAAAAATCTCTTTAAGTAGTGCTCAGTTTCTACTTAACCCCATGGGATCTTATCAAAATTTACTCGTTGGTTAAATAATTGGAAGATACTGACAAATAGGTAGTTTGACTCTCGAGTCGAGCAAAGCTCTGGAGACCACAGACTCTTTTATGAAAAGGTGTTGAGATAATTAGGATGTATGACACATAAATTTTATTCGTAAATGATTTTTAAAACGAATTTCCAATACCTATTCTAATTCAAATGGAAACCGAAAAATTAATAGTATATAAAATATTATAAACGTAAATAAATATAGCTATATTTTTTTAAGGGGGGAAAATCATCGAATGATTCTCCCGCCTGGGTGAGGCGGGATCCGAGTGTCAGACTATTAC